ATCTACTCAATTCCACATTAATACTAGAAGAAATTGCCCAAAATAGGCTAAAACCATGAAATCTTGAGTTCAGCTGCTATCTGATACGAAACCAAAACTCCTAAAAAACAAATTATCCTAAAAAGTAAGATGTTCTATTTATACTACACAGAAAAACCAGACAAAAATACCCCTGAGGGTCTAGCGTGGACCGTGCACAAATGACGCGCGGCCGCGTAGGGTTTTTGGTCTTCATATCTTGCTTCTGGCACTGGGGACGCGGACCGCACAAATGTGACGCGCAGCCGCATGAACTTCATCCACGCGGACCGCACTGATTAGGTGTGAGGCCGCGTGGGATTTTCCTTGAATGATTGGGTCTCTGACACTCTTAGGCGCGGACCACGTAAAAAGGGGCGCGAACCGCGCATGTTGACTTAAAAATGGCATGGCCTCTGAACTTTCCTGTGCGGCCGCGTGGCAAAACAGTGCGGACCGCGCAGGTTGACCTTGAAAATGCCCAGCCTTTGAACTCTCTTGTACGGCCGCGTGAAAAAACAGTGCGGACCGTACATGTCATTTTGTTCCCCCTTTTAGTTGTCTTTTGACACTTGGCAGATTTCACTTCTTTTTGAGCCGATCTTTGGTATTTGTCATCTTGTCGTTCAAACCTGCAATCAAGCACAACTTGTAAGCATTTTGGGACAAATTTATAGCAGTTAATGCACAAAGCTTAGGTAAGAATGGGTATAAAACATGCAAAAATCACAGTTATTAGAGGTGCACTGATAGGAGCTGGTGGTGCACTGTAGGGCAACTTATCAAAATATTGCATATGAGAACTACGACCACCTGGAGCACCGTGAGAAACCTGAAGTGCTAAATGAAACGGCCTAGGAGGATGGCCTCTACCAAAAGAATCCCTGCCTCCAGACGAGGCACCACTAAATCTGCAAGAATGACGAGGCCTCTTGTCAGACCCCTGACCGCTCCCTTGATCTAGAACCATCTCAAGCCGTCTGGCCACATTGGTCGCATCTTGGAAAGAAATCTCGCTCCCTGTCTCCTTAGCCATCTGCAATCTAATAGGTTGAGCGAGTCCCTTAATAAACCTCCTCACCCTCTGACGAGGCCAATGTGTATTGGAATTTCCTGCTCGTACTCTGTCAAATTCTAATATAGTTTAAGATATCGTCCCACAGAGACTGGATAATCTATGCTACAAACTTGTAATATTTTAACTACTATTTGAGAGAATCAAATTGATGAAAAGTGAGCGAGGTTTAAAACTTTTTAATTACTTAAACAAAACAAAATATTTTTGGAAGATTCATAATTTAAAATGGAGTTGGGAATCATTGAATTCACTTTATAATATTACTATAATAAAATCTTAACTTCTAAATTTATTTCTCTAAAGAATAATTGCTTATTTCTAATACAATTATATTTTACTCACTAAGAAATAATCAATTAATAACACTCCGTGAGAATTATGTTAGTTAATCAATTTAAGACTAGTGACGTTTAAACTGAAATATTTTTCTTGCTTGAATTGTGCTAAAAAAAAGTAAAAACTTCGTGAGAATATTTTTACAAAGGATCAATAATATTGCCTATAACAATTCCTCTGTGAGAATTAAAACTGAGGCAAGCAAGATTACTGACTTGAAATAATAGTTTACTGAAAAATTACTTTCACACTACTATTTTATTCATAGTTATTATATATTAATTTTGCTCTGCGAGAATTACAAAATTAATATATGAATAACTTAGAGATAAAATATGTAGATTTAATGATAGAGTAATTAAAAACTTCAAGCCAAGAATATAGAAATTGAGATAGTATTATAAAATATATCAAGCTTCATCAACTATCCCAACGAAAATAGATTACTCCATTATAGAGTAAGAAAAGCTAAAAAAGATATTTAGAATACTAGAAATATTTAAAAGACTAATGAAATATTTTTACTACAAAGAAAGAAGACCAAGACTAGTTCTTGTCTTACAAAGATTGGATATCCTTATACAAAGAGAGCTTGCTATTTATAGAAAAAGATGAGTAACTTTTGTCATGTTCCACTTTTGCAAATGTGAAATCCATGTATGCAAAGTGACCTTTGTGTACATAGATTCTATATATGAACTATAGCACTTGTGCATGAGTTAGTCTTGCAAATGTAGCTTCCATATATTTAAAGTGACCTTTGTGTAGATAGATTTAATATATGCAAATATGGCACTTGTGCTTCACTCTTGACTTCATGAGCTAGTCTTGAATATGTAGGTTCCATGTGTGCGAATGTGACCTTTGCAAATATAGATTCCACGCATGCATCTATGACTCTTTTGCTTCCATTCTTGACTTCATGACTTAGACTTGCAAATATAGGTTCCATGTATGCGAATGTGACCTTTGCGTATATATATATTCCACATATGCAACTATACTCCTTTTCATCTCTAATTGTCTCTTTCCATAAGCCCATATGTATATTCCACATTTGCGAATATGACGATAATGTGTGCAATTGTGGCTTTGTGTAATGACCTGACCAGCCGTTTTGAGCTCCAGCGCGTCGTTCAGCAGTTTGAGGCCATGAGTAGCTTCACTTCAGGTATTATGACTTGTGCGCACGGTCGGAATGGAATTCTAGGAAGTTCAGAGTTGATTTGGAAAGAGATTCTCATTTCGAAAGCTTTAAGTTGAAAGAATTGACTAAGGTTGGATTTTTGAGTAAACGACCTCGGAATCGGGATTCGAAGGTTCCAGCAGGTTCATATGATGATTTCAGACTTGGGTGTATGTCCGAACCGGGTTTTGGAGGACCTGGAAATATTTTGGCGCCTATTGGGTAAGTTAGCATTATTGGAGGAATTTCATAAGTTTGGGTTGAAGTGCATTTCAGTGTTATCAATGTCCGTCTGGGAGTCTGAGTTTGGGAATGGCTTCGTATGGTGATTCTAGTATTGGGAGCGCGATCGGAAGTGAATTCGGAGATCCGTAGGTCATTTTGGAGTCATTTGGCTAAAGATAGAAATTTTAAGGTTTTTGAGAAGTTTGACCGGAAGTGAAATTTTTGATATAGGGGCCGGAATCCAATTCTGGAAGTTGGAGTAGGTCCATAATATAAAATATGACCTTTGTTTTGAGGTCAATCGGATGTGATTTGATAGGTTTCGTCATCGAATATAGAAGTTTGAAATTCTAAAGTTCCTTAAGCATGGATTGGGGGTCGATTCATGATTTTAGCGTTGTTTGATATGATTTGAGGCCTCGATCAAGTCTGTAATGTGTTTTGGGACTGGTTGGTGTCCCGAGGGCCTCGAGTGATTTCCAGATGGTTAATGGATCAAATTTTGGAATTTGAAGAAGAAGAGATCAGTTGCCTTCTGGTGTAACCACACTTGCTAGAGTTGGACCACATGTGCGGAGCCGCAAAAGCGGCCCTTGGATCGCAAAAGCAGAAATGGGTTGGCCAGGCTGGGACCGCAGATGCGGTCGATTTGTCATAGATGCGTGACCACACATGTGGAAGGAGGAGCGCATATACGAAAGATGTGGCTAGGAGAAGGACTGCAGAAGCGGAGGGTAGCCCGCACCTGCGGGACTGCAGAAGCGGTCATGTGACCGCAATTGCGGAAATGCTGGAATCAGTTAGGTTGTTTAAAACGGGGGTTTAGCTCATTTCAACCCCATTTTCTCCATGGGGGCCAATCTTTGGGCGATTTTGGAGAACCATCTTTTGTCATCCATGTCAAGGTAAGTGGTTTCTACTAGTTTTGAGTTAAATACTTGGATTATATATGGATTAGAGCATGAAAATTTGTGAGAATTGTGGGTTTTGGTGGGAGACCTAGAAATTTATATTTTGGATTTTTACCACGATTTTGGGCATGGAATTAGAAGAAAATCATATATTTGAGTTTGTAAGTTTATGGGTAAAATTAATCTTCGAAAGATTTCGGAATCCGAGCATGTGGGCCCGAGGGCAATTTTGTAAATTTTTCGATCGAGGTTAGGAATTATTATAAATTGGATTGTAATGAGTAATTGAACATATATTAATGGATTTGCATAATTATTGGCTAGTTTTGGAGCATTTAGCGTCGATTCGAGTCTTCGGAAGGGCGTGGAATGCCGGTTACGGATCTTCAGAGCGAGGGAGTCTCCTTTCTAACCTTGTAAGAGGGAATTGTCCCCATAGGTGAAATAATTGGTTATGTGCTTCTATTTGTGGGGGCTACGTACGTACGAGGTGACGAGATGTGTATGTCCGGGTAGTGTAGGACCCAAAAACATGTTATACTTGGAATATCTGTAATCTTCTTGGCAGTTGAATTGCTTAAATCCTATCGAATCGGTAAATGAATTTCTAAAAGGATTAATCTTCATTTTCTTAAATTGCTAAAAGAGAATTGGCTTTTATTTGGATAAACGTACCCCGATAAATTCTTTTTTTTGTCCGCTAGGCAAATGCCTAGGGCTAGTTTTATTTATAACCAGATAAAATACGAAATACAATGTCATGATATCCTACGAATAGAAAGTAATTAAGTTTTAACTTAAAAAGTATCCTATTATCAAAATTGAGTGTTACACTCAATATTGATAACACATTAATGCTATTAAACTTTGTAATACAATTTGTTGAAGCTTTGTGGTGGAAAGCACGTGTGCCCCACCTATAGCCTTTTCCATGTGATCTTTTTACTCAAAAGCATGTGTTGTCTGCCATGCCTTGCACATGAAACTCACATTTAGAATCCTTTTCCAGCTGCTGTGCTTTGCGTGAACTATTGGTGTTAGTTCTGTCCCAAAAAACTCCCACTTGACAGCAGTTAGCGTGCATGGCAACTGTACCTTTTTTTTTGCTGCGTTCCTTCTTCGTCGATTGAGGTGATGAGAGACAGCTTTGTGCTGGAATCACACGTGAGCTCCACCTACAGCTGCAGCATAAAGAAATATATCCCATAGTACCTTCATCCTAGAGTATTGCATGCTTTTATGTATCCTAGATAACTTTCCATGTGCATTCCACTTTTCCATTTGATTCCTTTTGATTCCTTTGCTCACCAGCATGTGTTGTCTGCCAGTCCTTCCACATTAAATCTTGTATGCATATTAAGAGATTATTTAATCCGAATTGGATTGAAGCATGCGATAATATAAAGCATTGGCCTTTGTTGCCTGGTTTTCTCGAAAACATATTTGTTGCACATGCTAGTTGTGTTTCCAATGCCATTTGCTTCTTGTCGTGCTCGAAATTAGGATCAATCATTTTTATATTCCCATATCCCTGAACCATGCGTATGATATTAAACACTTCTGCACCATGCTGGTTGTATATCCAAATAACTGAAAGCATTATTTCACCTCCCGCTCTTCCTTTTCTCTTTGCTTACTATCTCTTGTTCACCTTCACCCTTAGATTTGGACATTGCAGCTTATCTTCATTAACCAACCTCCTTCCCTGTGCATCTAGATGCCAGAATTGTTGGCATTCTATTTCTCCATGATCTAAAGCATAATTAGCCAAATGATCTGCCAGCTTGTTGCCCTCTCTATGAATATGAGTCACTGTGTAATTGCCCCCATTCATTAGTTGCATCATTTTGTCTACCTGCTCAGATATGATCCATGGTGGTTTCTAGATCCCATCCATTATCTTTTTAATAACATTGAGTCAGTTTGAAGCCATACATGAGAGTATTGTTGAAATCTGCAGAACCTTAGTGCTTCTACCATGGCCTTCGCTTCAGCTACTGTGTTTGTTGTCTCTTCAATCTCTTTCCCTACTGACTTGACTATGTCACCATTTTCATTTCTTATACAAAAACCTATTGAGCTCCTCCCTGGATTTCCCCTCGATACACCATCAGTATTAACTTTTAGCCATCCTGCACTTGGAAATTCCCACATGACTTTTGTAACTTTAAGTTTAGGAGTGAAATTTTCCATCATAGCTAATAGATCTTGCCATTTGTGAGGTACCATGTCCATCCCCGGCTTTCTCACTTTCACCAATGCCTGAAGATTTGATAAAACCTGATAAATCACCCTGCTAGTTGTCACAGCATCACCATACTTCATACTATTTCTTCTTTTCCAAAGTTCCCAAACTACGGATGAGGGGAGTGCTTGCATTAACGCTTTTAGCCTTAAGCACACATTTGCAGTCCAACATTTTGTGATTGCTTGGTGCAATGTAAGTCCCTCCACAACTATTCCTACCCTCGATAGAAAATACTTCCAAGTTGTCTTTGCAGTTTTTGATCTAAAAAACAAATGCTGAAGAGATTCCTCGTCAGGCTGTACACAACACCAACATTTTGACGGCATGCAGTAGCCTATCCTTTTCAAGAAATCATCTAAAGGTAGTTTGCTTTCCACACTTTCCACATGGAAAATGCTATTTTAAAAGGTAGTCCCTTTACCCAAATCATTCTATAAGCTGTTCTTGGTTCGTCTCTTCTTCTCGTATACTCCCATGCTGACTTAACACTGAAATATCCTCTTGTTTCCAGCATCCAACAAGGCCTGTCAAGGACCTGCATAGTTGAAGGTGGTTTGATTTTCTCCAGAATGTGAACTGCTAAGTCTTCAGGAAGTATTTCAAATAGCCTGTCCACATCCCACTCACCATCTAAGGTAACATCATGTACATTATGTACATTTTCATCAATGCCAAAGTCCTGAGGAACTAAAAAATATAGTGCCCCAAGACCTGTCCAGTTTTCATACCAAAAAAGTGATGATCCCATTTTTGTTTGCCAAAGGATTTGATGTTCAATTAGATCTCTGCATTCCAACATTTTTCTCTAGATGTGAGAACCCCTTTTCCACGGAACAATTATAGAGTTTAATTTTTACAGTATTTCTGACATACGAAAGAGCTCCATAGGCTTGGTTTTGTTCTGAAATTCCACCATAACTTGCTGAATAATGCCTTTGCTACATCATGCAGTGACCTGAAGCCAATTTCTCCTTCCTTAACTGGCATGCATAAGGTATTCCATGAAGCCCAATGCCTGCTCGTTCCTCCTACAGTGCTGCT